TCGATCACTTTTATATTAATTTTGTGGAGGATTATACAAAATTTTGTTGGTTGTATCCCCTTAAACATAAATCTGATGCGTTTAGTGCATTTCAAAGTTTTCATTCTATGATCCAAAATCAGTTTCAAACAGAAATTAAAATTTTCCGAACTGATAATGGGCGGGAATATGTGAATCGTCAGTTTGGTCTGTTTTTACAACGATTGGGGGTTCTCCACCAAAAATCCTGTCCATATACTCCTGAACAAAATGGGGTTGCTGAGCGTAAACATCGTCATCTTGTTGAAACCGTTGTAACTCTACTTTATACCTCTTCTCTTCCTGCCAATTTCTGGGTTGAAGCCTTAGCCACCGCTAATTATCTCATCAACCGAATGCCTAAACGTTCCCTACATCATAAATCTCCATTTGAAGTTCTTTATGGTACACCTCCTGATTACTCTCATCTCCGTGTGTTTGGGTGTCTTGCTTATCCTCATCTCCGCCATGAGATTGATCACAAGCTTCAACCTCGATCTAAGCGTTGTATCTTTCTTGGGTATGAAGAACTGTCAAAGGGGTATCGGTGTTATGATCCATCATCCAAGCGTGTATATATCTCGCGTCATGTTCAGTTCAATGAGAATGAGTTTCCCTATTCTGTCTCTATCTCTCCACCTACCTCCCAGTCGTTCTTTGGCGTCTTGCCTATATATCCTCCTCTCCCTACGGTGTCCTTAATCCCTACTCACATGGAACCCTCACCTATACCCAATACTACCCCACCTATTCTTAACACTTCACAACCTAATGCTCACTCCCCTCCTAATCGTACTCCGTCAAATACCGGCTGTCACCCAGCCTTTCCACCTGGTTTTCCACCTCGTCCCTTCCCCTCCGATACCCCGAGCAACACTAGCCTAAACCCTACACCTCCTCGTACCCAGCCAGCCCCTCAACCTGAGATCACTCGGCCACTACCCACACCACATCCCACTCACCCCATGACAACCCGTTCCAAAAGTGGCATTTTTAAACCTAAAATTTTTTCTACCTCTGTCTCCCCTTCTACCCTTGTTTCTGAGCCAACAACGTTTCGAGAGGCTTCTCAACATGAGGTTTGGCGTCGTGCTATGGATGAGGAGTATTCGGCCTTGATAAAACAGAACACATGGGTACTTGTTCCAAAGCCTTTAGGTCGAGCTCCAATTGGCTGTAAATGGGTGTACAAGATTAAGCATAACCCTGATGGCTCTATCTTGCGCTACAAAGCACGCTTGGTGGCTAAAGGTTACACTCAAGAGTATGGGTTAGATTACTCTGAGACATTCAGTCCTGTGGTTAAGCAACAGACTATTCGGATCGTGTTCTCTCTTGCTGTTCATTATGATTGGCCATTGCGTCAACTAGATGTCTCTAATGCTTTCTTACATGGCGAACTTGATAAGGATATTTACATGGTGCAACCTCCTGGCTATGTTGATTCTCGCTTTCCCCGTCA